TGACACCTGGAGATCCACAGTCTACTGATCACCTCCTCCACACTAACACCTGGAGATATTAATGTTGCAAAGAGTCTCAGTACTTGCGGCCCTCTACTATGCTGTTTCTCTTTTATTTTTCATCAACAGTTCTATGTAATCTGCTATAGGCGGAAACTTCAGTAATATTAATATTTGTGATGCACTACAGTTGTGTTTATCCAATTAATAAATTGAGTTAATAGTGCATTGGATTTACTTGCTATTTTATCCACATCTCATTCTGCAAAGCCTTTGGTTTTCTCTGGAAGACTGACAGATTCCATTTCCTGGCACTGGGACGCAACAGCACTGAGGACAGACAGAGACACAGCAGCTGTGAGGACTAATTGGACACAGCAGCACTGAGGACAGACTGAGGCTCAGCAGGAGGCTGGGGAAGTGGGGGCAGGTTTGAGTACTGACTCAGAGATCCGACACCCATCTGAGTGACATCCCATTGTCACTTGGTGATGTATGATACTCAGGTCTTGCCCACACAATGAAATCCTATCTAAGCAAATGCAGAACTTGCTGCTTTGCATGAGGCAGCAGTGGTGAACTTTCCTGGCAGTGTTGACAAAAGTAGATAATTCCAGCCTTTGCATGGGGGAATTTTCCAAAGCTTTAACATGATGAATCACTTGACTGCAGATTGTTTGGGTTGACGTTTGTCATGACTGTTATCTCTCATACTTAACAACACAAGCCCTTTATCAGAGCTCCGAGCAGAGGGATTCAGCTGGTTCCCTTGAGAAGGAAGATGCTCGTTTGGAAGATACAGGGTCTTAAGAGCAATGTTACTTTTTCTTCAGAACAGTTAGGGTATTGGCTTTGACAACATGACTGTACATCTTGTTCCACACTCCCACCACCTTCTGTGTACAGCAGAGCTTCTTGTCCTGATTGGAGGATCTCATCCAGGTGACGCTTCAACAACATGGTTGGGCAGATTGTTCCCAACTAACACCAACATTTGTGTAAAGAGGCACCTTCTGTTCTCCATGTTAAATCCTATCTTCAGTGAGATACAAGCAGGTATTTGATAAAGGAGTGCAGACAAGCTAGACTTTGAGTATTGAAGTAAAAAGGGGAAGTTAAACGATATGCACAGTCTCCTTAAAAACACTAAACTACTGTTCTGAACTTATGAAAGTTCGGTTCACACTTTATACAAATGATTGTACAAGCAGTAGTCAAAGCAACTTTATTTTTAAATTCTCAGATGATACAGCTGTCCTTGGCTTAATACATAGAGGTTGCAGCTCATTTGTATACATGTCAGAAATCTAAAGGTTTGTGCAATGGTGTGACAACAATAGCCTAATTCTGAATGTTAAAAAAACAAAAGAAATAGTTTTTGATCCCAGAGCAGTTGGTCACATGTAGCAATCCACAACGAACTTATCATTCAGGTTGATTCATATACGTACTAAGGTGTTCACATAGACCATAACCTGCACTGGACTACTCATGCTGAGAGTGTTTGGTCCAAAGTTCAGCAGCGATTATATTTCCTGCGAAGACTAAGAGTGTTTGGGGTTCGACAGGAAGTAAGGCTACTCTTTTACCATGCTGTAATCAAGAGCTTTATCAGATACGATATTACAGTGTGGTTTGGTAATCTATCAGTTCATTTAAAATCACAAATTACCTGCCTCATATTTTTTGTAATAGAACAATGTGCAATGTTTTTATTTTCTTCTTTATTGGTTTGCATTCTATTTAAATGTACAGGAGTGCTGTGTGTCCATAAAAAAATGCCCTCAGGGGACAATAAAATCTTATCTTATCTCCCATACAGTGTTAGAAACAAAGAGCATGATTTGTGCAACATGAAGAGCACTGGGGGGACTTTGCGGAGATAATAAGGTAAAAAACAATATCTTCAAGTATTTTTAATCTCATGCTTGCATTACAGATATTTTCACATAACGGAATAGACACAGATTACGGAAGAGTCCAATAAGTATTACAGGTAGACGTGCCTCCTCTTACTCCTGGGAAAACTCCAGCTGAGCTGGATTCAAAGCAATAACCCTGCATTTCAATAACTCCATGCGCATCATTGAAAGAATAGAGAAGACTTGGAATTAGTAATAAAACAGAATTTGCATTATATAAACAGGACTGGCTGACACTGGTGCAGGAGGGAAACCATCCAGGACATTTTATACATCTCCAGTGTCTTATCACCTGTAACAACTGCGTTTTGTCCACTTAAGCAGGCTACTTGAGCAATTTAATAGTTTAGAGACAATTTGCAATGTCAATTCAATCAAGTCTCTAATTTGATCAAAAAATTTCTCATGTCTTCCAACTTCTTACAAATCGGTGAACAAAGAGAAACCTATAAGACCTACTGTATGTTTTATATAGATTTAGATAAATTTAGAGAAATTCATCCTTTGTGCTGTCTGTAGGGGGGCCAACTTCACAGAGCTACTTGGAGAACCTCGCAGCCTCTAGGTGACTCCAAGTCCCATGATGCAACGCTTCGCCTGGACGGAAGTGCCAATGTTGACGCGTCTGAGAAATTTCCTGGCAGCAGTTACCATAAAACGAAGAAAACACAAACTTAACAAAATGGTGGAGGTGATTAAAAAACTTGAAATGTCGTTTGCAAAGCAACTCGCTGAAGATCTGAAGCTGAAGTCTGTAGTACTATCAGCTCAGTATTTGGATCCACTCAACAGGGGGAAAAACAACTATCAATCGAAATGGATGTGCGCGTATATACGAGAACTTGCGGGGTCTGTGCTTCTGCAGGAGGCCACTGCAATCTTGTCTTGAACATATGAAAGTTTACAAACAATAAGAGGTCTTTTCCTCTAACTCGCTCGTTTGGTTGCGAGTAGCCGTGGCGGTGAGGCAGATCACGGACAGTGTGGGACACAGCCTGGGCGCCCTGCTGCTCCTCATCGCCAGCACGGAGCAGGAGAACCGCGGACTGAGGCGGCGAATGCAGACCTGCCGCCCCGGACAGGCGCCTCCTGCGACCCGGGCTGGGGAGACCGAGAGCGCAGCGGCCCCCAGCAAGACGGCATCGCCTTCATCGCCGCCATCCTCCTCCTCCTCGGGCTGTGAGCGCCCCAAGCCCCCAGACACGGAGAGACAGGAGCAGAGAGCCCGGGTGCTGGGTGAGGGGCTCTTTCTCAGTTACACTCCTCCGTGATCCTGAAAACTGGTGACACTATTCTCATCAGTCACATTCCTCGCAGGATAGTTTTATTCTGGGTACACAGTAGAAATACGTCGGATAATTTTGATGTTTCTGCTTGCCATCGGGAAGAAACGGCACTGTCTCTGCTGTTCAACGTGAGTTTGAAATTCGCAGACGCAACATCTCCACGTTTCTGAAGCTTTTTTTT